CGGAGTAGCAGCGCCCAGCACTGCGCTGATAGCCGTGGGCCGGATCCCAGCAACATCTATCGCATTCAGGTTGTCGACAACAAAGGCCTGGCGAGCCTGGCCTGGCTGTCGCTGAATGTTCAGCGGGCTCAGCGCGTCTACCCCCTTCCTCTTCTTGGCTGGAAACTTGGGCAGCGCGGCGCCCATATCCAGCAGCGCGGTGAGAGGCAAAGATCGGCGAGGAGCACCAGATGGGTGGAGCGCCCCTTTGCGTCGCCGTTGTACGAGGAGGCGACGCTCCGGCGCAGCTCCCCGACCTTGGCGTCCGCCATGCCCATGACCTGCGCCCCGTGCAAGAGTGAAAGCAGCTTGACTTGTCGCACAATTCTCTCAGCTGGCCCACCTGCGCGTCGGATCCTGGCGATGCGATCCCGCCTCGCTGCGAAGTCCACGGCCAGCTTGGAGAAGGCGGTGACTCGCCTGCGTCGGCCCGCGGCCGTGGCGATGCCCAGGTGGTTCTCGGAGGTCGCCATGTGCAGGTTCATCGGCCTGATGCGCTTGGCTCTGGTGAGCCGGAGCGACGGGGCCGAGGTCATGGCGGCGGTCTCGCCCCGCTCACCCTTGGAGACTTGCATGCCCATGCTCTGCTCGAACGTGCACAGCGGTGTCTGAGCCAATGCGGCGTGCCAGTGGAGCACGAACTGCCGCGGTCCGTGGGTGGCCACCGCCAGGTCGTCGAAGAAGACGCGCGTGTCTGCCCGCGGGGGGGCCCGCGACCCCGCCCAGCTCGGCGGAGATCACCGCGAAGCGGCTGCCCGCCACGATGCCGCGTGCCCAGCGGCGCCCCTCTGCGTAGCAGTCTGCCAAAACGACCCTCCGCACCGTGGAGTAGATCCGCAGGGGCACCCGCAGGATGATGCGGTTGAAGTCCCAGCGCAGCCCGGCCTCCCAGACCTTTGCGTGCGTCACGAACTCGAAGCACTTGACCAAGTCGAAATACGCGACCGCGTAGTCTAGGTCCTGGGCGACGCTGGACTCGCAGAACAAGGCCTGCGCCCACGCCGCCCGCTCGCTGGACCTGCCTCGGGCTGCCCAGTCGTAGTCGCGCCTGTTCTTGGTCTCCCAGCTCCGCGCGCACGGCATGCGGATGGTCCCCCACAGCCTCGCCAGCTCGGGAATCAGCCCGGGGTCGCGGTAGCCGCCCTGCGGCTTGGCCAGCAAGTAGAACAGGATGGTGGCTTGCGCCGTGGGCCAGGGAGCCCCCGCCCCCGCGGTATTCAGTACGCTGGCGATGCGCGCTGCACCAGCGTAGCCGCCTAGCTGCCACAGTCGCGGGTGGCATCGGCCTCGCCCAGACCCGTCTTGGGGCGGAAGCGCCCGCTGCTGTCCATGGCCTGCTTCGGGGTGATGGGGGGCGGCGGAAACTCCGCCGTCTCCAGGTCCGTGGGGGCCTGCAGCCAGGGGTCCTGCTCGTTCAGAGCGTCGCCCCAGATGCTCTCCCAGCCCTCCAGCGCGTTGTCCGCAGCGGCCTGGGTGTGCACGAGCGCGTGGTCCTCCAGGTTCTGCGTGTCGCCCGCGGTGGCCCGCGGCTGCCGCGGGTTGGCGGGCTTGGCCCATCGGTGGATGGCACCAGCCCCTTTCTGTTCATGGGTGCGCACCCGACGCCTCCACCTGGCGGCCGAGGCGCGGTGCGCTGTCGGCCAGCTGCGGCGGCTGGAGACATCCAGCAGCTTGATCATGCAGAGGATGTAGCTGCGCTCGCTGTCGGTGGCCGCGTCAGCTGTGAACAGCCCAGCGTGCTCGCGATGTCTGGCCAGCAGATGTTGTTCCAACTGGCGGCCTCGGGCCCGCAAGAAGGCGGCGCTTTGGCCGCGAGGCGGCCCTGTGCCACCTCCGCCTCCCCCTGCGGGAAGTCAGGGAATGTTTCGCCCTCAGACACCCTCGGCAACGCCTCGTCATCATTCTCGTCGACGGCGCCCCCCCGATCGGCCGCGCACTGCTCCTGGTCGGGGGCGCGCCTGGAGAAGAACGGCATCGCGATGGGTTGGCCGAGGAGGCTCTCGGCCAGCGCGCCCACCCTGTACTCGAGGTTGGCGTCGTCGCGGCCCTTGGCGAGCCAGGCCGGCGCGCTGTCGTGCAGGTCCTTGAGCCTGCGGGCCAGCCACTCAGCGCCCTCGGCCCACGCCTGCGCGGCGGTGGCCTCCGCGGCGGCGGGGGTCTCGATGTTCTACCACCTGTGCGTCGGCAGCTCGAAGTGGCCCGTGCGCTCGACGAGCTCGTCGCCCTCGTAGTTGAAGTGGCGGCTGAGGTGGCTCGCGCGCGCCTGCCCCACGGCGTTCCAGCGCTCGCCCATGTCATCCTGCACGCGGTGGCCCTGTCTGGCGAGGGGCCGCGGCCGCGGTGTAGGCGGTGCGGCGCGGCCCGTGGGCAGCGCGAGGGGCCACCGTTTGGGCTTGATCAGCTTGTAGGTATTCCTGGCGTTGCGGGCCTGCTTCGTTATCTCCAGCTCGACGGGCAGGCGGGGCGCCGCGTCGTAGCCCTCCTGCGCGGTGGCCTCGAGCGGGCCAGCGATCAAGCGCCTGGAGACGATGAAGAAGTCCCGCGTGTGTCGCGCCCCTCCTCCTGCGTCGCAAGAGCCCAACTGCCGGTCGTGCGCGATGATGCCCTTCGTCCTGCCCAGCAGCCCCGAGGTGCGCAGCTCGGTCGGGCCCGCGTTGAAGCCCCCGCCCAAGACCCATGCGTGGTGCGTGGCCTCTACTGTGGCCTCCCACTTGAGCAGGATCATCTTGTTTCTGGTGGCGAGGCCCTCGCCGTGCCAGAGGTAGACGCTGCCGCAGTGCAAGCCCTTCGGAAGCACGGCGTCTACCCGCGCGACGGCCAGGTGGCCCGCGGAGCCCTTCGGACTACAGGGCGCCGCAATAAGCACTCAAACACTCCATCCCCCCGATGTCTCGGCACTGCCCACTAGCCCGATGCACCGGCCCTGCTTGTGCATGCGGTCGCTGAAGATGCCGGGCTCGATGGGGTATGCTTGTAGTTCTTGTGCCGCAATGACCCCAGCGGGGTCGTTAGCCTTGATGCCCTTCGTGATGCGCCCCAGCGTGCCCACCGTGTTGGCGCTCATCGTGTAGAAGCGCACTGCGTCTTGCCGATGATGATGGCGCGGCCGCTCTCGAGCCCGTCCAGCAGCAGCTTGAGAGGAGCGTCGTACTTATCAGCCTGATCAGAGGTGACGCCGCCATCGAATAGCGCCTGCTTGACGGCGGCGGCGCTGCTGCCCGCTGCGAACTCCAGGAGTTCCTCCTCGGCGATGGCCCCGCTGTCGAGCTCGCGGCGCTTGGCCCGGCCTTTGCCTGCAGCGTGCTGGCCCGTGTTGGCCTGGTCCACCTCCATTTTCGTCTTGGCCTTCGCAGCTTCCTCCTCGGCCTTCTCGGCGGCGGCGCTCCGCTCGGCCTCCTCCTTGGCCTTCGCCAGGGCGTGGGCCAGCGCGTCCTCCACCTTCGGGTCTTTGGCCTGGCTGTCCTCCAAGCGCTTGGCCACCTGCTGCAGGAACTCCGCTGCCGAAGTCCAGCTGTTTCCTGGCGCCGGCACCGACAGCTCGTCGATCTTGGCATTGAACGTGTCCAGCTTCTCGGCGAAGCGCTCGTGTACCGCTTGTTCGTCGGTGAGTACCTGTTGCTGTTTGGCCAGCGTCGCCTCGATGTCGGCGATGCGGCCTGCGCTCTTGTTTTTCTGGTCTGCCACACGGTTGCGGTCTCTGACCACGCGGCACTCCGTGAAGCAGCGGGGGACCTTGGTCTCAAGGTCTGCCTGGGCTGAGGCGACCTGCTCCTCGAAGGCAGGCCACCTGCGCGTTGAGTCCGCCTGCCAGCAGCAATCGTCCTCGGCGATGCGGCGCAGTTCGCTCAACCGTGTGCGGAACTGCACGAGGTTGGCTTGCTTCTCGTCGTTGGACTGGTCTGGCTCGGTCTGGCTCGACGCGATGCCGTTGGTGGCGGGAGGCTTGGGCTGGGCATTCTGGCTGCCCCGCTGATTCCAACACTTCCAGCAGAAACTGTACTTCGCTCCATTCTGTGGCCTGCAGGCGGTGCACTTCCAGTTGCCCGTCGGTGTCTCGCGGGCTGGCATATGGCTCTGATCACCGCGGCAACTCTGAAGTCTGGTGATCGAAACGCCCGGATCGCCTCTCCAGGCTGAAGCGTTTCGGGCGCAAAATGGCTAGGAGGGGGAAGAGGGGGAGGGGGAGGAGGGGGAGGAGGGGGAGGAGGAGGAGGGGGGGAGGAGGAGGGGGAGGAGGAACAAAAAGAGGAGGAAGAGGACCAGGAGGAGGATGGGGGAGGACGAGGGGGGCAAGGAGGAGGAGGAGGAGGAAAAGAAAAAAGGAGGGGGAGGGGGGGGAGGACGAGGAGGAGGAGGAGAAGGAGGAAAAGGAGGAGGGGGAGGGGGAGGAGGACGAGAAGGAGGAGGAAGGAGGCCACCGTGATCTTGGGCGCCTTGTTAGACAGGGCCTCCCAGGACGACGCCAGGCACCGCGACCCCGCGCGCGTGAAGGCCGCCCGCTTCCTGGCGAGGATGGAGGAGTTGACGGCGGCGGGCCTGAGCTCCCAGGCGGCCGTGGTGTGCCTGCGCAGCTGGCTCACCGGCGCGCTCACGCACATGCTGCGCCTCTGCTACGACGACACGGAGCCTATGCGCCGCTTCCTCGAGCAGACCCTGGGGCAGGGCCTCGACGCCGCGGCCTGGCGGCAGGCGACGCCCCCTCTCCGCCTAGGGGGACTCGGCCTATCAAACCTGGCCACGCTTCCACCGGCGGCTTTCCTCGGCAGCCTGGGTGCCACCCTGCGCCCAATGGCCGCCGGCAGGGGTGTGCACTCGCCTGACGCGCTCCGCCAGCACTTCCCGCGGCTAGCAGCGGCCGCAGTTGCGGCCCGCTCATGCAGCGGGGCGGGCGCCGGGGCCTGGTTTCTGCCGCCGCGTTCGAAGGACGACGTGCTCGCCAACGCGCCCTTCAATGTTGCCGTGCTCCTCCGGCTGGGGATGATCCACACGCCGGGCCCCTACGCGGTTGGCCTGAGCCTTACGGACAATGGCGACGCCGTGAGACGACACAATGCTGCACGCGACTGCCTGGCCAACTGGCTCACGAAGCACGCGCCTGCTGCTGTGCGGACGGAGCAGAGTTTCCCCGAGCTGGGAAACACGGAGCGCACAGAAGGCCGGATGGACATCGTGACTCACGACGCCACTGGGGGCCGCGTCCTCATTGACGTGGTCGTGACGCACGCCGCCGCGGCCGATGAGGAGGCGCCGGTGCGGGCCGCCCAGGTGGACGGGGCCGCGGCGGCCGCAGCTGAGCGGCGCAAGCGCGCACGGTACAGTGGGGGCGTTGACCTAAGGAACTCCAAATAAGGAACGAGGTCCCTTTCTCCCATAAGTTGAACTTCGATTCCCCATGGGAAACCTCAGAAACACCGTAGGCAAACTGCAGAACAATCAAGGAACACCGAGCCCCTCCCCAACGAAAAGGGTTCCTTCTTCAGGGCCCCGACTGTACCCCCAGGCCGTAGGCCTGGTGCCGTTCGCCCTGGAAACCGGGGGGCGGCCCGGCGCCGCGGCCCGCGGCCTGGCGCGCCGCCTGGCGCCGACGGAGCCTGCCCTGCGCACCGAGGCCATCGGTGACCTCTGGCAGTCGCTGGGTGTCCACGTGCAGCGGGCGAGCGCCCTGCGCGCGCTCGCCCTGGCTGGCCACTGATCTGTCCCCTCTCCCTCGCCCTTCGGGTCGGGCGAAAGGGGGGGATAGCAAAGGGGGGGTTTGAGAATCAGCTCACGTAGCTGATTTTCCCGGCGCCTCCCGGCGCCGGGAGGCGCCCATGTATCGAGGAATGGGCCCCTCGGTGAGGCTGAAATCAGCTGCATGCAGCAAATTTCGTAACCCCCCCTTTCCCAATCCCCCCCTTTCGCCCGGCCCGAGCCCTGCTCTTGTTTTTCCGGCCGCAAGAATTCTCACGGCCGGAAAAAACCCTGAGTGATGCGTCTCACTCCGAGTCCGTTTTCGAGTCTGCTGCGCCGCTGTGCCGCTGCGTCGCCACGCTGCTCTAGCTCGTGTTCAGCCTCGTCCTCCTCCTCCTCCCCCTCCTCCCCCTCCCCTTCCCTCTCCCTTCCGGCACCTTGCCTCCGACGTGCGCGCGAGCGCCTAACGGGGGAGTGGGGTGGCTCAGACTCCCCGGCCGCGCGCTCGCCGCCTCCGCCTTCTGGTTCCCTCCTGCTCCCTCCTCCCTCCCTCTCTCTTTCCCTTTCAGTGTAAATGTTTGCCCCTCCCCTCCCCGTTATTTCTTTGGTGGTGTGCCCTGTCGCCAGCACCTGGGTGGAATATCGCCCTCCACCCGGGTGTCGAGAAAAATCCCTTGATGGGCACACCCCGGTATAGTGCATGGGATGGAGTGCCCGGCGACACGCCTGACCCAGGTGGTCACTGGTCCTAATATGGGACTTGTGCCTGGGTCGCGGATTCTGGAGGAGGAGGAGGAGGAGGAGGAGGAGGAGGAGGAGGGGGAGGAGGAGGGGGAGGAGGGGGAGAGGGGGAAGAGGGGGAGGAGGAGGAGGGGGGGGAGGAGGGGGACACACGTGCCCCGAAGGCAATCACCTCAGCCGAAAACGTGCGGCCCTCTGGCCTTGCAGCGGTTGGCAGCGCCAAGCCTCGGGATCCAACGCTGGGACGATGTCCCCCGCGCGCGCAGCACCCTGACGGCCCTGCGTGTACGCCTGCTTGTGAGAGCAGGAGGTGCTCATGGGCGGAGAAGAAAGAGGAGAAGGAGGAGGAGGCGGAGGAGGAGGAGAAGGTTGCAGATGACGACGACACGGACAGGAAGGAGGAGGAGGAGGAGGAGGCGGAGGAGGAGGAGGAAGGTGGAGGAACAACTGGAGAGATCTTGAGAGAGCGAGGCTGTTTGGGCTGGAGTGTGCTGCGAAATGAGGGTCGCTGCAATGGAAGGATGGGGCCCGCCATCTTCCTCCTCTTGCCTTTGCCCCGTCGCCGGAGGGGAGGGAGCAGGGTCTCTCGAAGAGTAAAGGCAGAAAGAGAAAGGACGAAGCCGTGCACATCGTAGGTGCGCTGGCGAGTGTGAGACGCCCGCCGGTTGGAGTCTTCCGACGGCCACGAGCAGGACGAGGCGCGAGGAGGAGGCAGGGAGGCAGGGGGCAGGAGGAAGGGAGACAGGGGAGGAAGGAGGAAGGAAGGGGGGAGGGACAAACGAGGGCCTCCTGACAAGAGGCCCTCCTCCCCCCATGACACTCACCAATGATCGTCGTCTCCGCCGCCCCCTTTTCCTGCGCTTGCCTCCGCCCATCCGTCAGTCCCGCGGGCCTGTCGAATCTCGCTCCGCCTCCGCCTCGTCCTTCTCTCCCTGCTCCTATCCTCCTCCATCCCTCCCTCTTCCTGCTTCCTACCTACCCCCCTCCTCCTCAGACATCCTCCTCTAGGGGAACTCACAATGACATCGGAGGTGAGGGGGTGAGATCGAAGTGGAACGGAGAGCCCCCCGACTGGGAATCGATTTCGGTTTCGTGTTCGTGCGTGCCGTGCGTGCGGGCGAGGCGAAGCTGCGTGGGCGGGCGAGAAAAAGTCTCCTGTGGCTGAGGCGCGGCCGGACCAAAAAAACCTTCACCGGGCGGCTGGTGCCGCGCGGTGTCCCGCCGGTGTCCCGCGAAAATCCCGCGGTGTCCCGCGGTGCCCCGCGGTGTCCCGCCGGTGTCCCGCGATGATGATGATGATGATGATGACGATGACGATGACGATGACGATGATGATGATGATGATGATGATGATGATGATGATGATGACATGACGACGATGATGATGATGATGATGATGATGATGATGATGATGATGATGATAATTATGGTGATGCTGATGTTGATGATGATGCTGATGATGATGACGATAACGATGATGATGGTGATGCTGATGATGATGATGCTGATGATGATGAGGACGATGATGATGATGATATGATGATGGTGTCCCGATGATGATGATGATGATGATGATGATGATGATGATGATGATGAGGATGATGATGATGACGTCGATGATGATGACGATGATGATGATGATGATGCTGATGGTGTCCCGATGATGAGGATGATGATGATCATGATGATTATGTTGATGATCATGATGATGACGATGATGGTGTCCCGATGATGATGAGTATGATGATGTTGATGTTGATGATGCTGATTATGATTATGATTATGATTGTGTCCCGATAATGATGATGTTGATGATGATGAGGTTGATGATGATTCTGGCGTCCCGATGATGATGATTATTCTGATGGTGATGATGATGTAGTGAGACCGAATGTGATATCGATTGTGAGATCGATTGTCAGATCGATAGTCAGATCAATTGTGAGATAGATCGAGTGAGATCGATTGTGAGACCGATCGAGTGAGACGTTGGTTCCTCCCCCCCCCAACCTCCTTATCACCCGAAGGGTGGTCGTATAGGTAAACATATCTATGCGACCACCCTTCGGGTGATAAGGAGGTTGTGGGGGGGGAGAGGGGGGAGGAACCGACATCTGATTCAATCAATATCACTATCGATCTCACTCAACGGGACACAACGGGACACCACGGGACACTTGTCGACCTCACTATAGACCTCACTATCGATCTCACTTAACGGGACACCACGGGACACCACGTGCCACCACGGGACACCACTGGACACCGCGGGACACCTCTCGATCTCAGTATCGGTCTCACTATCGTTTTCACTATCGATCTCACTCAACGGGACACCATAAGACACCACGGGACACCACGGGATACCTCGGGAAACCACATCGATCTCACTATCGATCTCACTCAACGGGACACCACGAGACACCAAGGGACGCCACGGGACACCTGTCGATCTCATTATCGATCTCACCAGCGATCTCACTTTGTGGGACACCACGGGACACCTCGGGGCACCACATCGATCTCAGTATCGATCTCACTATCGACCTCATTCAACGGGGCACCACGGGACATCACGGGACACCGCGAGCCACCGCTGGACGGGCGGGAGGGGGAGAATCATTTGTCTTGACTTCTCCCTAGCAACGGCGGACATC